ATACACATACATATATATATGTATAAAAAATAATTCCAAGAGGATAGAATCCAGGTAGAACTCAATGTCCAGGACAGAGTAAGTATATAATAAAAAGGCTTAAACACTAATATTCCATGGTCATAATTTATTCCATTGGAATCGTAAATACGATCCAATTCATCAGACCTACAAATTCAAAATTTTTGAATTTGTAGGTCTGATGAATTGGATCGTATTTATAATAGAATAAATTATTATTTTTTTTTTATATATATATATATATATATATATATATATATTGAATGCAGTTGTGTTTGTGACTGTCGGATTGAACGCTTTCCAATCAGCACCGCAAATATATATATATATATATATATATATATATATATATATATATATATATATATATATATATATAATATGATTATTTATCATTATTTATATATTATATATAAATATATATATATATATATTAAATGATTTTTTCCATTATTTCTTATTGGTAAATGCCACTTTCAGTGGTTACTGTTTTTTTTTGGTAGACCTGTTTTTTTTTTGTTTTTTTCTTACACAGTGAAATTAATAACAACCAGACTAAATTGTCAAGTACTACTAAAGAAACATTGTGCCCCCGACAGGAATCGAACCTGTATTCCTTCAATGGAAAAAAAGAGATGCAGATTCGACAATCCTTTTGTTCCACACATTTGATATCTCTATTTTATCAATATCTTTCCTTTCATCATTTCCCTTTTAGAATGTCTTTATATTGTTTTTTATTTGTTATGCACCCCAGTCGTTATTTACAAATGAGTAGGCCTTTATCCGCGGTTTTGATTTCTGTCGTTTCGTGTTCCCCCGGCTAGTCGAGCAAATTAATAATTCATAAGTTTTATTTAATAATTGACACAAATTGCAAGAGTATTGATGCTGACAATTCACCTATACCAAAAGAATCTGTGAATTATTTCCTTTTATTCCTTAAACGGCACGCATCATTTATTCCTCTTCGTTATGGTGACAGTATTTTATTCTATTGATGAATACATGCAATACATACACCTTACTTATTTGGTTTCAGTTATAAACAATTAAGTTTTACTTAATAATGGACCTCAAAACTTAAGAAGAGTAATACTGGCAATTGCTATTGACATCTGTCTATATTTCTGAAATAAGGTATTATGTACACTATTTACATTATTCAGACTATTGTCCTCATCTTTGTTACCATATTTATCACAACGTTTCGCCCGATGTACGCTCCGGCCTTCTTCAGGTGGTTGGAATGTCGATCTGAACCCTTTATTTCGGTCGCTGGGGTAGACTGTTCTAGTTCCATGTGCCATGTCTAATGGATGTCAGTTATCTCCTGTTAATTCCCCTCTCCAAGTTCTCCACCCTGTATTGAACTCACAACTCTCTGAGTCCTGTCACTGGATTTAAACAACGTCTTTATCAACTGTGTCATGTGCCCTTAAGGACATTCCAACCACCTGAAGAAGGCCGGAGCGTACATCGCCCGAAACATTGTAATAAATATGACAACAAAGATGAGGACATTACTCCACCGTGTCTCCCGGGTACAGATGGAAAATAAGTAATTGACACAATAACAGGGTGAACACGCAAATTATACTTTATGTATATCTAATATCTATACGATACCTTACTTAGTAAGCTGAGGTAAGACTGGCACAAGGCTGCTATAGTGGGGTATGTGGCAAATAAAGTTAACGTTGTTTGTTTTTCTTTTTTTGTTCTGTGCATGATTGTCTACTCTAAGCATTTTGAACGTGGACTATTAAGGCCGCATCACGTTGAAATACCAGTTCCCGTACCATCACCAAAGTTAAGCCTGGTCAGCTTCTAGATGGGTGACCGCTGGAGAAAACCATGTGCTGTAAGCGTTGATGTGAGGGTAGTATAATGGATAATGGCTCGAAATTGTTAATCGGAGAGCCGAGTTCCAATTCCAGTTGGGTTCGTTATATTCACTTTGACGAAAATACCCTTGGGAAAGGTTGGAATCCACCATCTCTCATCCCAGCTATTGGTTTATTAGTAAAATTTGTATCACTAAGCAGTTATTATCTCTAAAACATCTGACAATATAAAACAATTTTCTGGTTTTAAATAACCTACCAAAAGTTAACAAGCCGTAGAAAACGAATCAATCAATCTATTAATTGAATATGAAAATCTGGATTATCCGCTTCCAAGATTCGAAACTGCAAGAGCTGGTTTAAAACAATATTTGAAGATAAACAACAGAACCGGTCCCAAATTCTCTGTGAAGATAAGCGAATACAGTAAATAAAATGACAGCTGAGGTAAAACAAAAATTCTTATTGCTTGAAGGCATTCCTCGGGAGACAAATGTTTTAGGAATTAGATTAAATCAAATTCCCTGTTCGTATTAAGGTTATTTTAGCGGATAAACGTTTTTAACTAAACCTCCCTGTTTCTTTAACTTAGCAGATATAAACACCGGAAAGCCTTTACGAGAGTTGTACAT